GGGACCGGGAACGGGTAAAGGAACGAGACCGCGAATGAGCCCAGCACCAGGAACAGCCACGGAACCGGGATCAGAACCAGCAAGAGCGTGAACAGGACCGGATCTGGAAATGTGGCTGCATCCCTGGAGCGCCGGGCCTCGCCTGCCCACAGCGCGGCTGCCCCTGGGCTTTCCCCCGTTACGTTTATTCAGTGCACTTTTCAACATATTTTTCAAATATGTTTTTATCAAATTTTGAATATTTTAAAAAAACTTTAAAAATATTTTTTTTAAAAAATTATTTTTAATTTTTTAAAAATATTTTTTAATTTTTTTCCCCCCGCAGATGTAAATTCCCTTTTATTGTGCCTGCCCAGCCTTGTCTCTACCTCCCTACTCCTGAAGGGCACCAGAGCCTTCCCTCCCCTTTTCCCTCTGCAATCCCGACTTTTGGCACCCAGCACTGCTACTTTACAAGGAAATAAAAGCCTGCTCTGATCACAAAAAGCCCTAAAATTATTTTTATAAAAATAAATAGCTCTGTGCATGAAGGTGCAGACGACTTTCAGGGAGGGTTTTTCCAAGGAATACCTGGTTTGTATGGAAGGCGCTGGCAGCAGGGCTTGCATTCCCAGCTGTTCAATGCCAGATGGTTCCAGGCAGGTAATGGAGTGGGATTTCACTCAATTAAGCAGCCACAGACTGGGCTGGAACCCTGCAGCACTCTAATAAAGCATTAAAAATTCATGGCATGGCAAAAACCCAAGAGCGCTATTTGTTTTGCTAAAGCAAATCTTACACATTCGGCGAAATTAAGATCATCAGCAAAAAAAAAATAAGACAGCAAATGTGTATTTTTTTCACAAGTAGCTTCTTGATGGCAGAACTTGCTTCAGTCACTGCCAGTTCCCCCCTTCCCACTTTGGCAGCTCCAGTCTCCTGCATCCATCAGGATTGCTGCCCTGCTTCCCTGCCTGGCACCCACAGGGGCTGGAAATGGGCAGCGATTGCTGGAATGCCCTTCCAGCAGCCCAGCCCTGCACCAGGACATTCCTGATCCCTGCAGGTGTTCAAGGACACTTGGAATTGCCTTTGGAAGGTGTTCCTGCCCACTGTAGGAGTTGGAATGGGATGGGGTTTAAGCGTGGATCCCAACCCAAACCATTCTGTGGCTTAGGAAGGATTTTATTTTTAGCTGCCAGAAGTTCCTCCTGCTAAATTAAATTTTTAAAAATTAAAAATCAGTGGGAGGAACTGGTGACCAAACGAGCCCAGAGCTGGAATTGGAGATCAGAGAAATGATCATGGAATCCCAGAATAGTTTGTGTTGGAAGGGACCTTAAAGATCATCTCATCCCAGGGCAAGGACAACTCCTGCTATCCCAGGTGGCTCCAAGCCCAGTCCAGCCTGGCCTGGGGCACTTCCAGGGATCCAGGGGCAGCCCCAGACTGGTCTGGGGCACTTCCAGGGATCCAGGGTCAGCCCCAGCTGCTCTGGGAATCCCATTCCAGCTGCTCCCAAGGAAGATCAGTCTCTACAATTCCCGAGGCTGCCCTGCATCCCTCGCAGCCGGCGCTGGGGGGACTCATTGCACTCCAAGCCCCGGGAGGTGACAGGGACAGATCCCAGGGAACCCTCTGGCGCTGGGAATGCGGGGCTGGCACCTCCTGTCCTGGATCCGGCCAGGGAGCAGCAGGAAATCCACAGAACTCTTCCATCCGTGCTCAGGCTCGGGCTCAGGCTCTTCCCTTGGTGCCAGGCAATCACTGAACCCTCAGGGCTGGAAAAGATCTCTGGCATCAGTGAGTCCAAGCATCCCAGCACTGCCAGGGCCACCACTGCCCGTGTCCCCAAGGGCCACAGACACAGGGCTGTGAAATCCCTGCAGGGATGGGGACACCAGCCCTGCCCTGGGAAACGTGTACAGGTTTGGTTGTGTCAGGGACCCCGAAAATGCAGAGGGATCTGAGGGGAATTCCCTCAGGGGGAACCCCTTCCACAGGGAAACTCCATCCCAGGGATGTGGGAACGCCGTGGAGCTGGCACTGCCCTGCTGTGGCACCACCCAGTGACATTGTGCTGCTGTGACACTGCCCTGTGACATTGTCCTGTGGCACTGCCCTGGTGTGACACTGTCCTGCTGTGGCACTGCCCTGCTGTGGCACTGCCCTGCTGTGGCACTGCTCTGGTGTGATAATGTCCTGTGGTATTGCCCTGCTGTGGCACTGCCAGGGTTCCTTGGAGAGGAGCCTCTCAATTCTTGGGGCACAGCAGTGGCAACTATGGTTTTCAGGAGGAGCCCTGGGGGTTTCTGTCCCTGCAGCAGGGTAGGGCTGGCAGCCACTCCAGGTGACTTTGGCTGCTGTCACCGCTGACGTGGCTCCCGAGGTGGCCCTGCCTATTGTCATTGTGGCTGTGGCTCTGCAGCAAGGCGGGGCTGGCAGTTGTCACCTTGGCTGTTGTCACCGTGGCTGTGGCTTTGAAGGTGTCCCTGGCAGTTGTCACTGTTGCCACAACTCCCAAGGTGATCCTGGCAGTTGTCAACATTGCTGTGACTCCCGAGGTGTCCCTGGCTGTTGTCACTATTGCCGCAGCCACCCCAAGGTGGCCCTGGCACTTGTCACCATTGCCACGGCTCCTGAGGTGGCCCTGGCAGTTGTCACCATTGCCATGGCTCCTGAGGTGGCCCTGGCTGCTGTGACCATAGCCATGGCTCCCGAGGTGGCCCTGTCACTTGTCCCCATGGCCGTGGCTTCCAGCGCTGACTCCTGAGTTGCCCGAAGGCCACCCCAGCTGTGGGACCCCCGGGTGTCTGTCCCCACAGCTCATTGTGTCACCTCCCCAGACAGCCTGAGGACTGACCCCAGGTCTGGCTGCATCCAGCTGGATTCCTGGCAGGAAGGAGGGTGGGATGGGGTGATAGAATGGAATAATGGGATGGGATGGGATGGCATGGGGTAATGGGATGGGATGGAATGGGCTGAGAGGCACAGCAGGATCCCCACTCCTTTAGGTTAGGGTTAGGGTTAGGGTTAGGGTTAGGGTTAGGGTTAGGGTTAGGGTTAGGGTTAGAGTTAGGGTTAGGGTTAGAGTTAGGGTTAGGGTTGCAGCTGTGAGGAGAAGAGGAGCCTGCAGGGAGGGAATCTCTTCCCCCCTCTCATCCCAGAGATCTCTCATCTCTGGGATGAGAGGTGGGATCTCCCTCCTACTCATAAAATCTGGCCCCTCCTTTGCCATCCTGCAGCCCCAGCACAGAATTCCCACATGGAGCAGCCCTTGGGTGGGATTCACCTCTTAGGTCTTCAAATCCTGCCTCGATGGAGCTAAGCCCTTCTCGTGGGATTTGGGAACACTTTAGAGACACCAGCACACCTTGCCAAAAGGTCTTCACCCCAAATCTCCACCAGAGATCCCAGAGCTGGATTTAATGAAAGCAGAAACTCAGATTTGAAAAATTCTTCACAAATGTTGGTTTTAGTTAAGGTGTCAGGGCATGGGTTGGACTCATTGATCTTGAAGGTCTCTTCCGACCTCGTCATTCTGGGAATTTTGGGAATTCTGTGAAGGTTGAAGCCAGAGCTCCATGGCTGAAATCCATCTTCAGCCTCCCCAAGATAATAATTTTCTGTAGCCAGATGAAAATGTGGAATAAAATCCATACAGATACAGAAGTTGTGATCTGGAGCATCCAGGTGTGTCCCAAACAGGGATTTGGGGAACACTACAAAAATATTAGGCTTAAAAATTGATTTCAGACCTTAAATGTAACACTGAGTGCTGTGGCTGCAAAATGGGTTTATCCTGCAGAAATATTTTGTGGAAGAGTGGAATATTTGGAATATTAGACTTAAAATATTAGGCTTAAAAATTTATTTCAATCCTTAAATGTAACACAGAGCAGGACTTTACCCACTGAGTGCTGTGGCTGGAAAATGTGGATTTATCCTGCAGAAGTACCTTGTGGAAGAGTGGAATATTTGGAATATTACACTTAAAATATTAGGCCTAAAAACTGATTTCAGTCATTAAACATAACACAAAGCAGGGCTTTAACCACTGACTGCTATGGCTGGAAAATATCCTGCAGAAATCCTGAAAATTTATCCTGCAGAAATACCCTGTGGAAGAGTGGAATATTTGGAATATTAGGCTTAGAGATTGATTTCAGTCCTTAAATGTAACACAGAGCAGGATTTTAAATACTGACTGCTATGACTGGAAAACATGGATTTATCCTGCAGAAATATTTTGTGGAAGAGTGGATGGAATATTTGGAATATTAGGCTTAGAGATTGATTTCAGTCATTAAATGTAACAAAGAGCACGATTTTAACCTCTGAGTGCTGTGGCTGGAAAATGTGGATTTATCCTGCCGAAATACCTTATGGAGACTGGAATATTTGGAAGTCTGGACTATTTTGTGGTTATGTGGGTGAATCCACACGAGGCCAACAAAGCCCCTTTACTCACTGGTCATGAGAGACAAACAAAGTGCTCATTGGAGTAGGAAGTTGCAGGTTTCTCTTATTTATCCTTGTTTCCTTCTTGGTTTCTGTGTCAGTGACCTTGGTAGGAAATTCTTTCAGGGCTGAACGTGGATCCTCTTATCAGACTCCTCTGTGGCTCACGGGAGTGGCTGTAAAACCTCTTCCACATCTCTGGGGAGGGAAACTGAGCCCCTGAGCGTGTCCAGCTGGGAGCTGGGGCTTGGTGAGGACAGCAGGGAGAGCAGGAGGAGCTGGGGATGGAGAGGAGGAAGCAGCTCCAGGGCTTCAGGTCACAGCCCAAAAGGAGTGTCCCGCCCAGGGAGATCCCCTGAGTGTCCTGCAGGAGGGGTTTTCCAGGTCCGGCCTTGTTTGAGCCTTTCTTCCCACTGTTAATTCCCAGATTTGTGGCTAAACCTGTGATCCCACTGGGAAATGTTTTCCTGAATGGCACCAGAGAGAGCAGATTGAAGCCTGGCTTGGCCTCCTGCCTGTCACTGCTGGATGGACGGAGGAGAGCACAGAGCCACTGGAAAATCCAGCAGGGAGAAGGGGAAAAGGAAGCAGAAAAGCCAGGAGAGGTTGCAGGAGTCGACCAAACCACAGCACAAAATGAAACCCCATATAAACACAACAAGCAAGAGGTTGTGAAACTAAAAACAAAATAAATGTAAATAAATTCTGATAATTGTGTTGCTCCAGGGATCTGGGACAGCTGCTCCTGGCTTTGGGAAGTCATGGACAGAGGCTGATTGTTGAACGAGAGAGGAACTTGCACACGAGGGTTCTCTGACCCATCCCATTGATTTTTTAGGAAGTTTTGGCCCACTAGGGAGGTTCTGGAGGCCAGGCAAACACTGCGAGGTAAACAATTAAAAGGGGGAGATTTTAAAGCATTACCAGGCTGTTGTCAGCTCCTTAAACCCCAATTATCTGGAGCTTCATTAGGAGGAAATTAAGGGAACATAAAGGGGTTAATGGCAGCCAGAAGGGTTTAAGGCCAATAGAATCTGTCAGGCAAAGCCAATCCCATTTTTTAGGATTATGAGCCATCTTTGCTACACCCGTGTTGGCCTTGCCCGATGATTTGATTAATAAATTCCAACAATACCCATTCAGCATGGCTATGGCAGTGACTGGGGAGAAGAAATAAATAAATCAACTTCTTGTGGACAAGCTCTCAAACGGGACAAAGTTTGTGTGGCAGCAAATAATGAGGACAAATCCCAGGCAGACGCCAGCAATGAATATTCATGTGAAGGTGACAAATGCTACAGGCTGGGGACA